GTATAACTAAGTTTTTGCCCAGGGGAACATCCTCTGTGTTTTGAATCTGTTGTCTGGAGATCAGCTTGTATGCTATCGCCCAGAGGGTTTTCTTTTACCTTTCTTTTCTTTAATTAAAAGTCTTATTTTTAAAAACCTGATTGATTTTTTCTTGTTTTTAGATCCAAGGGGATTGGATCTGGACTCACCAGGGATTGGTGGGGGAAAAAAAGGGGGGGGGGAATGAGTAATTCCTCCTTGTTTTAAGATCCAAGGGGTTTGGATTGGTGTTCACCAGGGAATTGGTGGAGGAGTCTCTCAAGGCTACCCAGGGAGGGAAAGGTTTTGGGGGGGAAGACAGAGTTTCCCAAATGACAAACTATTTGGGTGGTGGCAGACCAGATTTAAGCTGGTAATTGAGCTTAGAGGTTCACATGCAGGTCCCCACATCTGTACTCTAAAGTCCAGAGTGGGGGTGAAACCTATGACAGGTTGATTTTTCCAGAATTTTGTTTTAGAACAAAACCAGAAAAATTTCGAAGAACGTCAAAATATCCCGTTTTAATATTTTTGGAATGAAACCTTTCAATTTTTCATTTTAAAATGACTGTTTCAAATAGTTTTATTTTTAATTGAATTATATAACCACATAATATACTGCACAAAAGTCTAAAATTAGACATCTGGATTTTGTCAAAATGAAATGTTTCAATTGACCCAAAATAACTTTTTTTCTGCATTTTCTTTCAGAGAACTTTGAAATTCTTAGTTTTCATTCTGATTTGTAACAAAGCCAAATTTTGAAATCTCAAAATCCTTCGCTGAATGGAATTTCATCCTCTGTACTGCTCTAGTTAGAATGAAAGTGTTCCTGATTCTGTTTGGAACTCAGTATATAGTCACTTAGGCAGTGTAGTCTGTTATTATTTTTACATTTTAAGATAATATTTTGCTGTTTTTCAGATACGCTAAAAATGGTAGCAATACAGGGTGCTTTTATGTTTCTTTAATAATAATTTATTTGGATCTGGTAATCATTCAATACACACAAATTCTTATTAATTTACAATTTATATAGCATTTTCAACCAAGGATCTCATTCAGTGTATGCATGGTAATTAGTTACACCTCACAACCACCCAGCAAGATAGATAGATTATATCCACTTTGCAGAGAGGAACACTGAGGGTCACATAGGTTATGGGATCTATCCAAAGACACAGTGGATCTGTTTGGCAGTGCCAGTAGGAGAACTGAGAAGCCTTGACGTCCAGGCTGCTACTCTATCCAAACAAACCATACCTCAGTTTGTAAGGTTACCCATTTTAGAGCGGAAAAAAATCCACAATGTTTGCCTGGAGGCTGTTTACAGTTAAGTTCCACCCACCATTATCCATGAACAGTTGGAGAAAAAAATATCACTCACTCTAAGTGCTGAAGAGATGGAAACGCTGCAAGAATTTCAACAAGCTTTAAGAATCCCTGAAGGCCGCAGGCTGGACCCAGCCTGCAAGGAAAAAACTATGGTCATTTCACAGTACACAAACAGCACAACACGTGGTTTTGGTTTTGTTACCAGCATTCATTTTCCCATACCACAGATAAGATTATGCCATTCATATTTAAGCAAAACTCTTTACTGCCTCATTAACTCTGCTTAAGAGTTAATGCACAATATGGCCCTACAACATTAGATCAAATATAGCAGAGGTTCACACAGGCGAAGTGTTGGACACATTTTCCTCTCCCTCGTTTTTCTCTGCAAATCACTTTTCATTCATATCTGATCTATGAT